TAAAGATATATCCCAATGTATACAACAATGAAAGATATATCACAATGTGTACAACAATGAAAGATACATCACAATGTGTACAACAATGAAAGATACATCACAATGCGTACAACAATGAAAGATACATCACAATGTGTACAACAATGAAAGATACATCACAATGTGTACAACAATGAAAGATACATCACAATGCGTACAACAATGAAAGATACATCACAATGTGTACAACAATGAAAGATACATCACAATGTGTACTACAATGAAAGATACGTCACAATGTACTGTAAAATGACTAATTTTCACGGGGTTTAAATTTCACTGATTTACCATTTCAGGCATATTCAGTGGGTTTTAAATTCACGGTTTCGTCATTTAGATAATGTGTTCTATGCTAACTTTTACATATTCACTGTGTTTTAATTTAGCGCATTTTTCCAGTCAGCGAAATAAGCTAAATTAAAACCCAGTGAATAATTACCCCCTTTACAGTATACAACAATGAAAGATATATCCCAATGTATACAACAACGAAAGATATATCCCAATGTATACAACAACGAAAGATATATCACAATGTGTACAACAATGAAAGATACATCACAATGTGTACAACAATGAAAGATGTATAACAATGTATATACCAATGAAAGATATATCACAATGTGTACAACAATGAAAGATATATAACAATGTGTACAACAATGAAAGATTTATAACAATGTGTACAACAATGAAAGATACATCACAATGTGTACAACACTGAAAGACATACCCCAATGTGTACAACACTGAAAGACATACCCCAATGTGTACAACACTGAAAGACATACCCCAATGTGTACAACACTGAAAGACATACCCCAATGTGTACAAAACTGAAAGACATACCCAGTGTGTACAACACTGAAAGACATACCCCAATGTATAACAATGAAAGATACATCACAATATGTACAATATTAGATGATATATCACAATGTGTACAACACTGAAAGATACATCACAATGTGTACAACACTGAAAGACACATCACAATGTGTACAACACTGAAAGATACATCACAATGTGTACAACACTGAAAGATATATCACAATGTGTACAACATTGAAAGATACACCTCAATGTGTGTAACATTGAATGATACACCCCAATGTGTATTACTGTATAACAATGAAAGATACACTCCAATGTGTGTAAAATTGAATGATACACCCCAATGTATAACAATGAAAGATACATCACAATGTGTACAGGATTGGAAGATATATCACAATGTGTACAACACTGAAAGATACATCACAATGTGTACAACATTGAAAGATACACCCCAATGTGTGTAACATTGAATGATACACTCCAATGTGTGTTACATTGAATGATACACCCAATGTATAACAATGAAAGATGCATCACAATGTGTACAACACTGAAAGACATACCCCAATGTGTACAACACTGAAAGATACATCACAATGTGTACAACAATGTAAGATACACCCCAATGTGTATAACATTGAAAGATACACCCCAATGTATAACAATGAAAGATACATCACAATATGTACAACATTGGATGATATATCACAATGTGTACAACACTGAAAGATACATCACAATGTGTACAACAATGAAAGATACACCTCAATTTGTGTAACATTGAAAGATACACCCCAATGTGTTACATTGAATGATACGCCTCAATGTGTGTAACATTGAATGATACATCCCAATGTATAACAATGAAAGATACATCACAATGTGTACAGGATGGAAGA